GGATTCGAACCCGCCACCTGAGGTGTATGTGGCTGGCGCCTTAGCTGCTTGAGCCACAGGCACTGAGCCAAGGTTGTATTTTTGAAGTCATTACAAGAACTCTTTGGAAAACAAGTGGAACTCCTGGAATGAGGGATGGGAAACTCCCAGAATGAAGTTGCCCTGGTGGTGCCTCCTGCTCCCAAGAAACGAGTGTTCATTCAGGAAGAAAGCTCATTTGTAGCTGGCTGGAGTCAGGAGAGGCGAGGGCTCCACGCTGGACAGGGGAGAATTTTTACCTGAGTATCTTGTTGGAAGCAGGGGCATGGGGCTGACATCAGGGCTGAGGGGCCCTGCTTGCTCTTCTCAGGGTTCCTCGTGGGCACGGGAGAGTGACTGGGCTGAGTCCTCGTCCTCCATCCTCCATAGGCGCAGCTGTTTCAGCCCCCGGGTATTTATTCTCTTGCTAATTAGCAAGGCTGAGTCCCTTGTGTGCCACTGGACACATAGAGGTTTTCCCACAAATGCGTTTGGCATCATTCAGGACCCTATCACATGGGGGTGTGACCCTGCCTGTGGTGGCTGTTCCAGAAACCTGTCCCTTTGGGGGACAGCCAGTTTCAGAGCATGTGCCCAAGCCTCAATGGCAGTTCACCCTGCAGAATTGATCAGGACGTGTGGAGGTGACGGCACCTTGGGATCTCTCTGCTGTGACACTGAGAAAAGGCCTCTCCTTGGTGCATTTGCTTGCTCGGGGTCACAGGCAAAGGTTGGGGAGCGCTGCTCCTGGGAGAGCCCCCCGCAGGATCCAGGTACCCCGCAGAACCGGGACGAGATGTGTGCGTGGTGGTTTTGCACATGTTTTGGAAGCCTGAACACACAAGAATTAGGAAAAGGAGAAGGGACTCTGTGGAGGGAGCCTCTGAGGCCATAGAAGTCCTACTCCCTCTGGAATGTAGACTGGAGACAGTCTCAGGAAAACGGCAAAACGAAAAAGTGCGTTCAGCACGAGGAAAACAGCACCTGGAGAAAATACCCACCAGGAGGCTCCCGTTAACTTGAGTGCCAGTTCAGGGTGTCCTCCCAGGGCAGAGACACAGATGTGGGCCCACTACCTGGCCAGGAGGGCAGTCAGGGGCTGAGAGACAGCCCTGAGGTGGCGGGCAGCCGGACCCAGCAGAAGCAGTTCACAAGATGAAGCTGGGCTGGAAGCTCCAACCTTAGAGGCCAAGAAACCACACAGGGGACAGAGGGAGATGGCCCCAGGCTTCCAGGCTGAGTGCCCCAAGGATGGCCATGCAGGGCATGGCAGAAGCAGGGATGGGGTGGGGGCCCTGGAATGTACAGGAATGGACACCATGATTGCAAGGACAGTTACCGATTCTTATCACATTAAAAGGAAGTGCTGAGAACAGGACAGTCTCCTGGCAAGCCTAGAGACGTTTTGTGACTTAGGGGCAATCCAGATAAGATCGGGCACCCTTTAGTAAGCAGGTGTTAAACATTGATGCTTGGTGCTCCTTCCTGGGGGTTGTGGGGGAAGAACACGTGAGGAAAGAGCATGTGGCAATCCTTACACACGCAGCCCTCATATGTCCTTTAACTCTCCACACCTGCTGGGTATGTCATTACCTTAACTCTCCACACCTGCTGGGTATAACCTTACTACATAGCCGCTGTGGAGCGGGCTCAAGGCTCTCCTGCACCTCTGGTTAGCCCACCTCTTGAGAGCTAGTACTTCAATCCATGTCCAGCCTGCTTCTTTCACGTGGGCGGTGGCGACACTGGAAGGCTGGTGTTTGGGGCCAGCCGGATGGGCAGTGTAGGGGCAGCCAGAGGCCTGCAAAGGGAGCTGAGGCTCCCAGCACCAGCTCTGCTCTGCTCAGCAGTCCCAGTCTCCACATGTGCAGCTTGGGATTGGGAAGGAGGCCTGGGGCGTGGGGTGGATCCTGCCAGACGTGTCTGTGGGGTCCCACGAGGGCCTCATGGAGGAGAGAGAACCTCTCAGATGGTTTTAGTGAGGGCTGGGAGGGGCCGGGAGTGTGGTGTGACTCAGCGGAGGGCAGAGGAACCTGGGCTGGGCCCTGGGAGCCCAGCAGGGGTGAGAATCCTCCCAGCGCTGCTCCAGGTCAAGCGGGAGGCACCTTCTCAGGACAAGGCACCCAGGTTCTCTGAGAGAGGTAAACATTTTCCCTGATGCTATTTCTCAAGGGCTGAGAAGTCCCTCGCTCACAACCTGTCAGTGTGTGGGGCTCAGTCACCCCAAGTCCAGCACTGCATGGGGCCGCCCAGCCTGGCTGTTTCTTAGACACCGTCCTGCCTTCACAGGCCAGGGACCTCCACCCCTCTGTTTCCACACTGCTATCCAGCCCATTCCATGAGTTTTTATTGTAGGTTGTATATTTTTCAGTTCTAAAATTTTCATTTGGTTCTTTTTCATATTTGCTTTCTTTGCTGACACTTTGTGTTATTGCCCGTGAGTGGAGCGTGTTTGCACGTGTGACCACGGCTTTGGAATCCCAAGTGCTGCCATCTGTCCCATCAGGATCTTGTCTGTATTCAAGTCAAGGTCTGTCCAGGTTCTTGGTATGATGAGTGATTTTTAATTGTATCCTGGACACATTAAGTACCATTTCATACGTCTCCTTTGAGGTCACACCCCCAGGGGAGGTAGGTGGGAGTCCGGGCACCTCACCAGGTTCACTTCTGTCGTGGGCGATGGGAGGGCACACTGGGTGACTCGAGGGGTGGGAGTCAGGCTCCCACAGTCTCTGCTGACCCCACCCATGGGCAGCAGGGTGGCGGGGGAGTGGAGGTCCAGGACCCCACCTGACCTTTGCTGACTGGGGTGGGACAGAGCCACTGTTTTTTCTTTGGTGCTTTAAAGTTTCTTAATTTTCTTGGAGTTAATTTGGCTGGAGTTGGTAACTGCTATCTAAAGTTTTCTTTCTTGATAAGCTGCCCCCATCCTGGACCTTTGGCCAGAGAGAACCAGGTTGTCTTGGAGCTTTTGTCTTTTCTGTTGGTGCCTCTGGGACTCTGGACTTTCCAGGTGTCTGTCAGGATCTGGGAGGCAGAAAGGGACACGCGTCTCCTCAGGTCGGTGTCCCTGGTGGTAGCTGTCGGGATCTGGGACACGCGTCTCCTCAGGTAGGTGTCTCTGGTGGTGTCTGTCAGGATCCAGAAGGCAGACAGGGACACGCGTCTCCTCAGGCTGGTGTCCCTGGTGGCGTCTGTCGGGGTCCGGGAGGCAGAGAGAGACACGCGTCTCCTCAGGCTGGTGTCCCTGGTGGCATCTGTCAGGGTCCGGGAGACAGAGAGACATGC